CCTGTCATTTTCCTAAAATCCTAAAACTGCATAAAGCTGTATTTTTTGTTCTGATTGGCTGTAATTTTTTCACATTGTGCAAGATTTCACTTCCAGTGACAACAACAAAAAAATACTCAAAATTTGATGCTTCATGACTAGTTAAGATGACATGTATCTCTCTTTCTGTGGCTCAAACATTTGATTGTTTTATGAAATGTTGAGCCAGAAAAACACAGAATCATAACCAGGTATGATGCAATAGTGTCATTCGCTAATTCTATTTTTGCCATGTCATTCATGAAGCCCCGCCCACTGTGAAATCTCATTGAATCTTATTGCGTATAGCAGGATTTTTGTTTTGATTCGCTGTGATTATTTCACATTGTACAACATTTCACTCTCAGTGACAAAAACAACAACAACAACAAAAAAAATACTTGATGTGACTAGTTAGGACAAGGTGTATCTCTCTTTAACTCTTAATTTGATTTTATGCAGCTCAAAATTGATTGTTTTACGAAATTTTGAGGCAGAAAAAACTGTATCATAACCACATATGACGAGATAGTGGTGTTCGTTAATTTATTGTACATTTTAATCAGATTTTTTTGTCCCAGCCACGTGACTGCCAACATTCTAGCAGTTGATTGGTCTCTATTTCTGCCATGTCATGCATATAGCCCCGCCCACAGTGAAATCTCATTGGTCCAAAAGTCTGCTCCATATAGCTGTATTTTACACATCAAATATGTTCTGATTGGCTGTGATTTTTGTCACTTATCATAGCATTTCATGTTTACCAAGGACAGGAAAATGATTAGTTCATCCAAAAATGAAAATGGTATCTTTATTTACTCACCCTTGTGTCGTTCCAAACCTGCATGACTTACTTTCATCCATATTGCACAAAGGAAGACATTTTCAAGAATATTCACACTGCAAACAGTTGCCCAGTGGCTGTTGAGCTACAAAAATGCGGGATAAAAGTTAGGACAAAAATATAACTCAGTGCAAAAATAAACCCAGTGTTTCCCATGTTTGTCTTTATACAGTTCCAAAGCAGACAATTCTAACACTTGACACTTGCTAAATGAATGCAAACCCACAAGAACAAAACTCATGTTTGGTCTTGTCCAAACCAAGACAGATTCTCAATGCATGTCAAGATCGTTTCTACTAATAAGTAGTTAGAAAAAAATAAGACACAGAAATGTAGCACATAAAGCTACCAAAAATGTCTTTGCTTTTTATTATTAAATATACATTTATTTACAATACACCTTTATAATTCTAACCATATAAAACAAGCTCAAAATAAACCAGTCATTAGTGTATATTATAGTCCATAACATTGTCAGTGATTTGTCATGTTAATTAAATATTTAAATGCACTTCAAAAATGTGTTTAGGCAACGGACCACAGTTTTTTTTGTTTTTTTTTTGCAAACATAAGAATCCAAGCAGACCCGTGGCATTCAGCCAAAGCAATGCAACCAAGACTGTTTAGATAACAAGATTTTAGCTTTGTGAAAGGTTTTATTGTTAGTGCTTTCTGGGGTGCCAGATGTTCTGGCTTGTTATGGTGGAAGCAGGATGTGTGTCTTACGTGACAGCAGCTTGGCGAATTCTGCGAACTCTGCGAATTTCAGCTAAGACCAAACATCTACAAAACAGCATAACACAACTCCCACGGCTACAAACACAATACTCCAGTCCTTCGAAAACAGCAGCTAATACTTCATATTCCTGCATACGGTGAACATTCACAAAGGTAAACTATACTAACAGCTCACACCATTTTTTTAGATTGATGTACCCAGGGTGTAGGAACGAATTGATAAACCATAAATATTAATTAGATGACAATGTTCACCCAACTATACAAATTGGTTTTTATTTAAAGACAGGCAAATGGGCTAGCTAGACTAGTATTAGTGCTCGCATGTCATTTTTAAATATGTGTATATGCACACACACACACACACACACACACACACAAATGTCCTTTTGGCTACACTTTATTTTAAGGTGTCCTTGTTACAGTGTAATTATACATATAAGTACTGAGTAATATTAATTAACTACATGTACTTAATATATGGTTAGGGTAAGGATTTGGTTTGGCTTAGGGTTACTTGCATGTAATTATGCATAATTCATTGTTATTATAATAGTAAGTACATGTAACGTGTAACAAGGACACCTTAAAATAAAGTGTTACCGTCCTTTTAATTTAGTCAATGTGCAATCAGTATCGTTATTGTTATTTAAAACAATAATAAAACGTTTTTTGATAACTGAAATGAAGCTGAAATAAAATATAAATATTAGATAAAAAAAACAAACAAACAAATAAATATAAGTTGCCCCGGCAACTGAGATAAAGTTGAACTAAAACTAATTGCAAGTTTAAGTTGTAATACTAAAACTGAAATAAAATTGAAATCTATAAAGTAAAATAAAATGAAAACTGAAAATACAAAAGTTAATTCCGAATATTAATAAATACTATAATAGCATAAAAATAATACAAAAATAACAATATGCAATATTACAAACACATCTGTGTGTGTTTACATTTTAATCAATTTTAATTTCGTTAAACATTTTTAATTATTTCCCAAAATGATTTGCATTTTTAATGTTTGCTACACACCTGCACTGTAAAAGATGTGTTATTTGTTGTTTATTTGTAATTACTTCTAAAACTTGATAGCAATTTTTGAGTGAAAATTGTTTCACCACTTTTTTTTTTTCCCCTCAGTGTGGATGTATTGCCACCATTAAAAAAGTTCCCATTTTTGTTTTTCTAGTGATGTGTAGCTTAATTTAAAAACCCCCATCACATCTTAAACTTCCTGTGAGCTGCTGAAATTGCTCGGTAAGCCATCCCACTTCATTTCAGTTTCGGTAGCATGAATATCTGAGATTGAGGATTCATTACCTCCGTGAGACGAACTGAAATCTAATGAGAGGAATGAGCCAATCGTGGTACAACATTCCGGCTGGTGTTTATCCAAGCTGAGATGGATTTCGCTGTAAATCAGACTCAGTTCTGAGCCCAGGGCTGTTTGAGAGAGGATCCATCATCTCTGTTCCATCGCGGGACTGACATTTACATAGATCACGCTAGATAAATATCTAGCATTACTGATTCTTTGTCCTGACTTCACTGAAAATGACAAATGAGGGGGTTGGGCGATGATTAGATACCGCCTCGAAGCTTCGCTCTGGTGCATTGTGGGTATTATCAGAGGAATCTGCATATCTTGACCCTTTCCTATGCTATTCTGTTCAGAACATTTTTATTTTTTTATCATGTTGAGTCCAGGAACCAATTATATGTAGATTATATCTCATTGCGGTGAGGAAGCAATCATAATATGATCTAAGACATTTTTGAGGCTTATACGGGAAAGACCTGGCAACCTTTAAAAGGCTGTGAATGATATTTTGACTCCATTACTCGGTTCCTCTGGAATATAATGCAATAGAAGCAGGTCCCACCAGTACAGAGTGAATTCTCATATTCCCAGTCTAAGAGTTTATTGTGGACTGGTTTGATGCACTCCAATGTGAAGCCTTCCCTTCATCAAATCTGTGATTCACAGGGAACTTCATGTTCCCAGAAAACACATCATGGCCACTTCTGACCAGCATACGAAACGTTACAAAGGTAAAAGTGAAAGAAAATGTCTGTTCTCACTTGTTTGGGGAACATTGACTGATGGTATTGAGGCTAATATTTAAAATGTATTTAATTATTTAGCATTAAAACATAGATTTAAACTTAATTCAACATATATTTTCTATATTCTATCCTTTTTAATATTGTTTTAAGAATGTTTTTTATGGAAAACAAGAAAAACAATACTATTGTTTTTAGAGCTTGTTTTTGTCAGCAGATAAGAACCATGATTGCTTTTGTTGTTGAGACTCAGTGTGATTTATGCAAGCAGAACATCCTTTCAACATCCTTTTTTTTGGTTCTAGAACAACATTTCTTGGAACCAGTCACTGATCTCAGATTTTAGGGGTCACATGAGGGCCTGGAAAATCCTTATAGAGTGCATCAGAAACAGATGCACTGAATGAGTGAGTCTTAGACTTTAAAGACGACATAAAATCAAAATTGACCGTATAAATTTACTTAAAGACCCTATGAAATAAAAATTGGAGTTCAGTGGCTTGTAAGATCTCGTCTATTAGCTTTGAGGCCATTTATATGGTAGAACACCTTTAAAAGTTGGCTAAATAAACGTTAAGCACCTCTACACATTTCAAATTTACAATCGTGATCTTCTAACAAAACAGATTAAGAAGACTGAGGACTTGTCTTGAGAACTACACAGATTTGTTTCCAAATCCACCAGAAAATCCACTAGAATGAGAATTTCGCTTCCCCAGATACCAACTAAACTGATTAGCAACATCATTTAACCTGCAATGTATGCAGTAAAGTAAAGGCTTTCGGCTATTTAAAATAAAGCACCAACAGGAAATACTCAACATGTCCAGTTTCAAATTTCTTAATAAATGTTACAGGTTTTCTTGTGCACGAATCAATGTTTTTCATAAAACTTATTCCACAACTTTTCTGCTGATGTAACCAAAAACATGTTGGCACTGATATGATACTGATCAATATCAATCCTACTTTTAATGATCCAATCAAATCACGCTGAATAAAATCCCCACCCATGATTTCACTTTCACCCTAAAATATATGACATAACCATAATTAAATGGCTACTGGTTTTATTTGGAATGATTCTTCGGTGCGAATCCCTCCAACTGCCCGCCACCATTCTGAAACACAACGCCTGCTTTTCATGACCCAATCATGGACACAATCAAGTCCTTATTTCCTGTTCTTTCACTCAGCGATTCATCACATAACTGTTAAGCTAAATGCATTGCGAATGCTGTTTCAAGTAGTCCTTAATAAAGGAAACAGGGAGTGAATGTATGAAGGAGAAACAGAGCAAAGGAAGGAGGAAGTGAAAGAGCCCCACTGGTAACATCAACCACTTTATTTGCATCACTACATCGTGCTCGCCTGTGGCTGAACAAGACCATTCGTGCTGGATTAGTACCACACCAGAGCCGTTTGATTGGTCACGGTCCACAGACTGGAGACCGTCAAGTGTTTGTTTGTCTGCCAGAGTGATTCGCATGTGCGCACACAAACGATTCTGTAATCTCTTTGTTGTCTGGTTAAACAATTAGCCCTGTAAGCAAAAGAGTCGCTTCATACGTCTGATTCTCCATCCTCTGCGAAGGGCTGAAGGCCATGTCTGGGTACAGCTTCTGAGTTTTGAAGCCACCTGATCTTCTAACTCTTGGGAACATTTTTCTAAAACCGCAGCAAAGAACCACCGATATATTAAAATCCGCCACGCTGCCTGCATACCGCTATAATTCAACGTATCTGTGTTGTGTGCTTTCCGTTCCCTGAATCCTGGATGCTAAAGGACAGTGGTTGGGAGGGTGAAGGGCACTGGCTGTGTCCACAAGGCTCAGCTGACTTCCTGTCCCCAATCCCTGTCCACTGAGTTGGCGCCAAACATAGGGTCGCAGCGACTCAGTGGGGGTCACGAGGTTCGTACGCCACAGATCAGATGAAGTACTCTTTCCTGCTGTCTCTCATGGCACTGTGTAGGTCCAACTCGGCCCGGTATCTGAGTTCTGGCCTGGGCTGGTGATCTTTCTCCTTGACGGAGGCCATCTGCCGGGTACGCTCGTTTCGATGGCGGTACAGGAAGCGGGTCATCACGGCCACGGCACAGAGGGTAATGAGCACCACTGCTGCTATCAAACCTACGAGAGACAGAATAAGTGAGTGGCACTTGTGCCAATGCAAAAGGGCGAAAGATTTCCTCATGCAGTTTTCGCAACTGGTTCAAGTTGGTCACAAAGATTTGCCGCGTTGACCAGCAGAAAGCTGCTTGGTTTGAAAGCGACTTATGAGCAATGCTTCATAAACCACCGCTCTCTATCGATGATGGTCAGAGGTGCAGTCACATTTAACACTGTTTGGCAAATTTTCACAGGCAAAATGCAGTCATTTCAGTAGGAATCCACACAATTAGGAGTTTCGCGTGAGGGTGAAAGATCTTCCCACGCAGATTTTGCAACGAGTTTAAGTTGGACACAAGGATTTTCCATGTTGACCAACAAAAAGCTGCTTGGTTTAAAAGTGACTCATGAGTTAAGCTTTATAACTACACTATTGACGATTGACGATGGACCTTTGTTGCCTGTGACGTCTTTCGCACCTTCAAAATACCTTACCGAAAGTTGACAGTGTGAATATTCATAAAAGGTTTGATTTTACAGCACGTTTACCTTAAAAAATGGAGCAGGAAAGCGGCACCTACCTCCAATTACAGCGGAGTCACTTTGGGCAGCGTTCGTACGTTTCTTCCCTCTACTTCCTGTGTCTGCATGGTCTGTGAATAAAGTTTGTTGTTTGTCCAGTGATTCCATTCATTTTGCCATTTCTTGAAAACATAATGGCACTTTTACCAACCTGACAAAGATCTGGATGAAGACTTATCCGCCAGTTCTCCGCAATTTGACTCTACCAGGTTACCGAGAACACTGACCAACGAGCTACCTCGATTCAATATGGCCGCCTTGATAGGAGCCAAATGGTTAAACTGAACTGAAGACAGACAGCCTATGAAACCTCTGGATCCGGCCTGGAGAACCTCTTCATCTACACCAGCTCGACCTGAGACAGGCAAGAAGACCGTACCTCAGTAGGTTCTTATTTGTCCCAACAACTAGTGCTAAACTAAACTAAACCAGTGTATGTAGTGCTAAATGAAGGATTCTTGCCCATCAGTCTATCTCAAGGTGACTTGGTGTGGTGAATTAGTCAGTAAAGCACAAGCTCGCATACCCACAGCTTTAATCTTGGAGTTTAATTAAACCGCCTACCTGTGACTTTCCCCAATGTCAAAGACCTTATCGTGATCAACTCTTTGTCCGTGGACAGGCTGTATTTCAGATTGGTATCTTTATCAATCTAAGAAGGAGAAGGATACAGAGAGAACGAGAGAGAGAGATGTGGCGTGACATTCGCAAGATTCTACAAATATTTTATTGGTGTGAGACAAAAGCCTCCACGTGTTAATCTGCAAGACTGTGTGAAGAATACTGATGACATCCTTGAGTTTAAGCACTGCTCATAAAGTCTGTGCTACCGGGGTACAAAACTGAAATGTATCATCAGCCATGCACATCAGGGCACTTTATTTAACTCAGACTGAAAACAAATCTGATCTAAATCAATTGAGAGGAATGCGATTAATGATGCTATAACTTTCCCTCAGCAGCATTGGGACTAACTCACAAAACATGAGTGGAACTCAACTCCTTTGTGAATTGTTAGTAAAAGCATTCTTATGAAAATTGAAGCATAAATTAATTAGATTTTTTATTTTGATTTTTTTTTATTTAGCAAAACATTCATATGTAAATTGTAACAAGAATGTGTTTTTGTTTGAACTATTCTTATGTAAAGTGCAACACATTTATTCAAAGTAATGCAAATGATTCATAAAAACTATTTTACATAATTTGTAACAAAAATGTGACCTAGACATTACATATATGTGCAAAATGGTCATAAAAACTATGTAGTGTCGCAAAATACGACTTGCACCTTTGATTAAATGTCTGTATAAATTGTTCATAGAATCGTTTTTATCTATTATATTTATTTATTATATATTATATTTTATGCCTAATTTGGTTGTAAAACAATTCATATATAAATTGTTGCATGAATGTTACAAACATCTTTAATTGAATTTCATTGTAATTTGTTCATAAAACAATTCGTACATAAATTGTTGCATGAATGCAACTCACATCTTACATTTTTGTCTAATTTGTTTGTAAAACAATTTGTACATACATTGTTGCGTGATTGCGAGCCACATCTTCTACTGAATTTCAGTGTAATTGTTTCATAAAACTATTTGTACATAAACTGTTGCATGAATGTGACCCACATCTTTAACTGAATTTCAGTGCATTTCGTTCATATTCGTACGGAAATTGTTGCATGACTGCAACGTCCATCTTTAAAATTGTTTGTAAAACAATTTTTATGTACATTGTCTTGGTATTGTTGAATAAATTAAGAAAGGTATTTGTTCAGCTCGTTTCATGAATAAAGACCAATTATTTATAATAACGCTGTCAACATATAACTGTGCAGTAGCTGCCATAACTGGTTAGTAGCTGCTACAAAACTTAACAAAAAAAATTTCACTTTGAAACATAAACACAACTCACCTGGACGTACATGTCCCTTCCCTCTCTATGTATCTGGACTCTGTGGAGCTCTCCATTGGCCAAATTAAGAGACGTTGGTGTAAAGATGTCAGGCTCTTTCTCTCTGCTCAGCCGATACCAAATCTGCAAACTCCCTGTGGGAAGCCAATGAGATGCAAGAAAGGCAGGCAATTTGAGACATAAGTGAGACAGAATCAAGTCAGCACAGCACATTGGATGGCTCATTTCCTTCCCCACTGATGAGGGTAATTGCTAGCTTGACCACTGTTTTGAAATATGAGAAACACAGAAAAGGATGCTCCTCTCCAATCATTACCATCACCATCATTGTAGTAATCATCTACTGACAGTTTGAAGGTAATCAAAAAACAGCTCTGATTGGCCAATACAAAACTGTGATTTGCCACATGCTGTAACACGACAAAATCTTCAATAGAACATTGTTATTATACTCTGATAATATAGATTTCTAGACTTTATATGAACTAAAATTAGGCAATACCTATTTAAATTTTTTTTTTTTGCATTATCATTACCATAATATTCCTTTAAAATCTCAAAGTGGTTCTAATTTTCATATATATAAAATATATTATACTTCAATTTTAATTAGAATTAATTGAAAGCAGTACAAAAAAACGCTACTATGATGCATGCAAACTATATAATTAACATTATACTATACAATATGCATGAAAGTATGTAAGCCTGTTTCCGCCACTAAATAAAAAATAAAACAAGGTAATTGCGACTTTTTTTCCTCAGAATTGTGATATAAACTCGCAAATCTGACGTTTTTTCTCGGAATTGCGAATTTATATCTTGCAATTCTGACTTTATAACTCACAATTCTGAGAAAAAATGTCATAATTGCGAGATATGAACTCGCAATTGCGAGAAAAAAACTCAGAATTGCGACTCTATATCTCACAATTCTGACTTTATTTCTCAGAATTGCGAGTTATAAAGTCAGAATTGCGAGTTATAAAGTCAGAATTGCGAGATATAAACTCGCAATTCCGAGAAAAATAGTCAGAATTGCGAGTTTATATTTTATACTTTATAACTCGCAATTGCAAGTTTATATCTCGCAATTCTGACTCTATAACTCGCAATTTTGACTTTATAACTCGCAATTGTGTGTTATAAAGTCAGAATTGCAAGATATGAACTCGCAGTTCTGAGAAAAAAAGTCAGAATTGTGAGATAAAAAGTCACAATTACCTTGTTTTATTTTTTTATTCAGTGGTGGAAACGGGCTTCCATATGACAGTAATGAGAATTAGTTTTTTGCATTAATAATTTTTTTGCACAATAATTGAGTGAAGTGAAGTGACGTGTGGCCAAGTATGGACTTTTTTTCTTGCAGTTCTGATGTAGACTCGCTGTTGTTATAAAGCCAGAATTGCATGATATAAACTCGCAATGCTGACGTTTTAACATGCAATCGCAACTTTATATCCCACAATTCATAATAGCGATTTTATATCATGCAGTTCTGAGAAAAAAAAGTCAGAATTGTGAGATAAAAAGTCACAATTACCTTGTTTTATTTTTTTATTCAGTGGTGGAAACGGGCTTCCATATGACAGTAATGATAATTAGTTTTTTGCATTAATAATTTTTTTGCACAATAATTGAGTGAAGTGAAGTGACATGTGGCCAAGTATGGTGACCCATTTGTCACCATTTGTTAATTTGTGCTCTGCATTTAACCCATCCTAGTGCACACACAGTAGTGCCCCTGCTGGACCTGAGACTTGAACCCGCAACCTTCAGGTTACAAGTCCGACTCTCTAACCATTAGGCCACGACTGCCCCCATAAGCAAAACATTACATTTATTTTTAAAAATCTAAATATAATTTATTATTTTTTATTATTGTATATTAAATATTTCAATTTCAGCTAGCCTAAATGTAACAACGAACACTACTATTATGCATAAATACTTTATAATTTACATTATACTATATAACATACATGAAAATAATGAGGGATTTTTGTGCACTAACAATGTCACTTTTTTGTACAATAGTGAGAAGTGAAAAATTAACTTTTTTTTAATTATTATTTTGGGATTAAATACAGTATGACCTGAACATGTTCTTGACATGTTTTGTGAGATTCACCCATATTACAGTAAAAATAGAAAGAAAGAAAGAAAGAAAGAAAGAAACAGTTAGTACCGTTGTGAGCCAGAATAATGGCCATGTACTGCTGATGATAGGTGTTGACTGTCAGAAGCATGGCAGGTGTTTGAGTTGTGAGGAAACTGAAGGCGATGCTCTCTCGTGAATTGCTGCTTTGGGCGAAGATAGCTGAGGACTGACGGCTGTGGTTGCGCATCACAGAAAATGGTTCCTGGAAGGTGTAGGTCACCGAAGACCCGCTTTCAAAGGACACGGAAACTTCTAGAAAGGAAGAAAACACAAAAGCATGAAAATGTTGGTGCAAACGCTTGTGGGCAGATCATAGACACTGATTGGCCGTGTTTTTGTTTCCCTATCAGCATATTAATGTGCTGTCGAACACCAAGGACACAATGCTGAATGGACAGAGTGGAAAATGCAGAGGAAATTAATCATTTAAACTTTAAATGAATGCAAAATTATGCTTGGACTGAAACCGACCCCTGGGCATCTCATGGTGTTCATTTACTCATAATATTATCTGAATAGAAACACAATCCCCTCTAGAGTCCAATAAAGAAAACGCAAAGCCAAGAACGCAGTCTCATTCACAGAGCGCTGAATGGCTCAGCTGTCTGGCATATCAGGGGATAAAATGTGATAAAGGCTGTATTGACGACAGAGAGGTTTAGCATTGAGCGTGATGGGCAGGGAGGGTCCGCTGGGATTGGTCAGGTTGCAACCCTTTGAGCGAAATTCATCCAAACAACTGGAGTTCATGGTCATGGACTCAAGCCATACCGAGACAGCGAGACAGACAGAGAATAGCAGAACTGCACTGAATATCTCATGTTTTATCCCGCTCAGCTTTGATCAGGTGCAATCTGCGGGCACAACGCCGTCTTTGGAAATCAAGGTTATCGAGCTCTTAAGCGTCCTCCTTCTGGAAAGTTCTTTGATATACTGTAGAGGAGTTAGGAGGATAACAAAGTTGAATCAAACTGTTTTTGATGAGGAATTGCACCCTTGAACTGCAAGAAAATCTAAAACCTTCATAAATAGCCACAGACAGATATGCTGGTCAATATTTGGCCAGTTAGCACCTTACTTTAGTTATGAATATCTCGACTGTTTAAGATCTAATTAGACATTTTATTGTGTATATATTGGTATGATGTTGACCATTGGGCAACCTGCTTTCAAGATATTGTAATTGGCAGTTGAAAAACCTGTTAGCACTAGTACAATAAAATTAAGCACAAATTATTTTTATTTACTTATTATTTTTGTGCCGCCACATAGAATTTCTGGGAAACGTTTTGCGTAACAAGCCTGTGGTCTCATAAACTGGCAAAAATCAAGCATTATTCTTCATCAGAATATGTTACATGCAACCTTAATAGCACAATCAACAGTCACAATAAAAACTATGATCATAAGCAATTTGCTTCAAACAAGATTCATTAACACACCCTCAACTTGTAAAGTCAGTGCTTAAAATAAATCCTTCCCGCTGGTATTTTACGACATCGTGGTGGTGGTTTAGAAACCAACCGTACAAACAAACTCAATATTAGCGCAAACGATTTATCAGCAATAATGACGAACCTTTCTTGCAGTTGGGTCCTCCATAGGCTGAGTGTGTGCAGTCACAAACGTAGCCACTGCTCTTCTCGATACATTTCCCCCTGTTGTGACACAAGCTGTTTTGGCTGCTGCAGTGACCCGGGCACCCCGAACTGACCCCAGGGGTCATTTTAGCCCTCTCCTCAAGGTCAAGTGTCATCCCATTGATGCTTAATGACCTGATGCACCCTAGAAATCCCCTCTGCCTCGATGCTGTGCCTCCTGCACAGACAAAAAGCAGTAATTTTAAAAAAGGAAGCTATCTTAGCGTTAGTACATCAAAATTAACAACAAAAATGGAAAGCTTTGTTAGCGCTAGTACAACAGAATTAAGTGCATTTAGGACAGAATCTTCGTTAGTGGTAGTACAACAAAATTAAGTGGAAAAAAAGTTTTATTGGCGCTAGCACAACAAAATTAAGTGTAATCAAAACAAGCATTGTTAGCGCTACTACAACAAAATTAAGCGCAAAAAAGACAAAGCTTTGTTAACGCTAGTACAACAAAATTAAGCGCAAAAAAGACAAAGCTTTGTTAACGCTAGTACAACAAAATTAATCACAAAAAAGACAAAGCTTTGTTAACGCTAGTACAACAAAATTAAGTGCAAAAAAATAAAAGTTTTGTTAGAGCTACTAGAACAAAATTAAGCGCAAAAAAGACAAAGTTTTGTTAACGCTAGTACAACAAAATTAAGCGCAAAAAAGACAAAGCTTTGTTAACGCTAGTACAACAAAATTAAGCGCAAAAAAGACAAAGCTTTGTTAACGCTAGTACAACAAAATTAAGCACAAAAAAGACAAAGCTTTGTTAGCGCTAGTACAACAAAATTAAGCGCAAAAAATGTAAAGTTTTGTTAGAGCTACTACAACAAAATTAAGTGCAAAAAAGACAAAGCTTTGTTAACGCTAGTACAACAAAATTAAGTGCAAAAAGACAAAGCTTTGTTAACGCTAGTACAACAAAATTAATCACAAAAAAGACAAAGCTTTGTTAACGCTAGTACAACAAAATTAAGCGCAAAAAATTAAAAGTTTTGTTAGAGCTACTAGAACAAAATTAAGCGCAAAAAAGACAAAGCTTTGTTAAATATACTACCTCGGCAATATATTCTGGCAATTTTTAGTGAAAAAAATAGTCCTTATACTTGGGGGAAAATATATAAAATAGATGATGGCAGGCAGTATGATGAAGATGAACAGCCTCAGTGAACTGTGTACAGTAATTACACAGCTGATGGTTTCAACGGCACAGTTCACTAAAACGGCTCTTTCCACTCAAACTGGCTGCGTCCTCTCCTCTTTGCTGCAAATACTAATGACACGGCATGAATATGAGAGGCTTTTACCATTTTATTTTGACATTTGAGTTAACAGAAAAATAATAGTAACATAAAACATTTTCTTAACCCATCCTCATTTGAAAATTTCGTTAATTCTCTTTTTTTGAAAGTCTCGCTCTCAATATAAGTGACTCACCGCTGAGTTCCACTCTAATGAAGTCTTTTGCGCCCAGATTTTCCAAGAAGACTCCGGAGGGAGCCGTGGTTTTGAAATAGAGTGAGATGTCGACACTGAGCTCGGCCTGAAGCATTGGGAAGTGCAGGTAAGACGACTCCTCGTAGAAGGAAGCGGCGTTCCACAAAAACCCAACAAAATTAAGCGCAAAAAAGACAAAGCTTTGTTAACGCTAGTACAACAAAATTAAGCGCAAAAAATTAAAAGTTTTGTTAGAGCTAGTACAACAAAATTAAGCACAAAAAAGACAAAGCTTTGTTAACGCTAGTACAACAAAATTTAGCGCAAAAAAGACAAAGCTTTGTTAGCGCTAGTACAACAAAATTAAGTGTAATCAAAACAAACTTTGTTAGCACTAGTACAACAAAATCATGCGCAAAAAATGTAAAGTTTTGTTAGAGCTAGTGCAACAAAATTAATTGCAAAAAAGACAAAGCTTTGTTAGCGCTAGTAAAACAAAATTAAGCGCAAATAAGACAAGAACATTTGTTAGCGTAAGTAAAATAAAATTAAGTGCAAAAAATGAAAGCTTTATTAGCACTAGTACAACAAAATTAAGAGTAATTAAGACAAAGCTTTGTTTGAGCTAGTACAACATAATTAAGCACAAAAAATTTAAAGTTTTGTTAGGGGTAGTGCAACAAAATTAATTGCAAAAAACACAGAGGTTTGTTAGTGCTGGTACAACAAAATTAAGAGCAAGTAAGGCAGGAAGCTTTGTTAGTGTGAGTAAAACTAAATTAAGTGCAAAAAATAGAAAGCCTTGTTAGTGCTGGTACAACAAAATGAAGTCAGCAAACAATAATATAGCAAAAAAAGGGAAAAAAATTTAGAATTAATATGAAAATAATTAGCATGTAAACTCTATTAGCAGCATCTGTGTGGAGGTACAGGGATATTATTCTTTTGCGCCCCGCTGGCACAGAGCTGTCACTCAAGGCGCTGCCTACCAATGAACAGCTGGCTGTTGAGCTGAAGGTGGGTGTGGCCTTCAGACGGAGCCTCCAGGAAGCGCAAGGGCAGCTGGTCCACCTGCAGCGATGCCTCCTTCACATTCCTTTCCGCTCGGACGTAATGCCACTGCTTGTCATTCAGCGGCACGTGACACTTCACCGTCAGAACCACCGGGCCATTACCCACATCAAACGTGAAGGTCACGACAGAGGGCGCTGCAGGAATGAGAAGAAAACACCAATCACTTCATATGCAACAGGAATTTGTGGATGTAATTGTAGGGTTGGGTGATTTAATATTCATATTTAAATTTCATATTTAATCTTAAGTAGCAGAAATTACGCTACACTTTAGTTATTGTAAATCAGTTCAACTGTCCAATTTAATGACTTGTCTCACATATTTAGATTCTTTATTAAAGGTATGTAGGTAAAAACATGTTTTTTTAAGCTCTTATATTAAAATAATCTATTTAGATGTTTGGTTATAAGTATGGTTCTAAAAACAATAATACATAAATATCAAGATATTAAAGTACCATCAAAGGGCTGAAAAGAAATGGCAAATAATATTAAAATGTTTATATAAATTTAAAATGTTAACAGAAAAATAATAGTAACATAAAACATTTTCTTAACCCATCCTCATTTGAAAATTTCGTTAATTCTCTTTTTTTGAAAGTCTCGCTCTCAATATAAGTGACTCACCGCTGAGTTCCACTCTAATGAAGTCTTTTGCGCCCAGATTTTCCAAGAAGACTCCGGAGGGAGCCGTGGTTTTGAAATAGAGTGAGATGTCGACACTGAGCTCGGCCTGAAGCATTGGGAAGTGCAGGTAAGACGACTCCTCGTAGAAGGAAGCGGCGTTCCACAAAAACCCTGAGGTAAGAGGAGACCGATTATGGTTTTATTAAAATATTCTTATGTTAAGACTTAATTATGACCTGGAATTTAAGGAGTCTTGTCAGAAATTTAGCTAAACTATATCACTCTTTTATAGCTAAGGTGTGATAGACTGTGTAAGTGAAGACAAGATCTGACTGCAAGTTCTAGGTATACCCAATTTTTAAGGTTGTTAAAATTAATGCATTAACACATGGGATTAATAGGACTAATGTGTCAATACACTAACTACAAAAATGTACAATTAAAAAAAGGTTGATTCATTTATTAAACTGACAGCAACAACTGTCGCTCAAACAGTAGAAGACGGTGCTGACAACGAGAAGATCATGAATTTGATTCCCAGGATAAGCATGGATAAAATCATAGCTTGCAATACAACTAATTTTAGATAAAAGCGTCTGTCAGACTCATAAATGTAAATGTAATAAATTCCGCTTTGCGTCGGGTAGTTCTTGGCCTACACGTCGTGCATTAAAATCGTTTAATTCACAGCTAGCCGTGCATTATCCCTTACTTAATAAACAACAACAACAGCCATCATAAAAGTTGCTAGGCAATTCAGTCAAAAGTACAAAGGCAGCACTTTGATATACAGCATTAAAGTTACATAAAATATAACGTGATGAGATTTTACTCTCAGACAAAACTATTTACTATGGAACAAATATATAATAAGACTGCCCATTAGATTTACCCAAAACAAATTATATCTCATGTTTAACCACTATAGAGACATCAGAGCCAGTGGTAAATTCCAGAAGATCTGGCCGAGGTGAGGCTGCTCTCGGCGGGTTCATAAGCGCCGAATGGCCGCTGATGCCCTGGAGCTCACATCTCCGAAAACGACGAAGCAGATTTTCAAATAGACATTACTTTTAACAAACCACATATTTGAAGTCTAAAGTCTAAGTATATTCTCACATATTTTTATTTTTTTCTTGCTTATTTTTTAACATTATTATTATCATTATATAAAAAATAATAGCTATGTACTAGTGATGCGCGGATGAGCTAAAACGTCACCCGAATCCGCAGCTTCAAATAAATTATCCACCCGCACCTGTATTTTTGTCTGATTTAGATAACCGCACCCGATCATCACATTAGGGTTTGTACGGTCATGAAAAACCTGGAAAAGTCATTGAACAGCAATTTCCAGGTTTATGTAAAAATAAATAAACTTCAAAAAGTTTTTGAAAAAATCATGAAAATATATTTCAAAATTCTCTGTATAATAGAATTATGTTTAATCAGATCCTGAATTTCGTTGCGGGATTGCGCATACATCGCATTACTCATTCCTGCAGCTTTCGACTTTAAAATGAGGGAAATTACTGCAAAACCTTTATTCAATATAGCGTGTAGGTTAGATGAGTAAATAAATCCACAATGTACAGTATTTGAAAAATAATGTGTTTTTTGAACATTAAAGCATGTCAACATATTCTGTTACACCAAATACACAAAATAATGATCTTTAAAAAAGCATCATATGACCCCTTTAAGTTAATGTAAACAGTTGCAAAACAAAACGCATGAGTATCAGTATTGGATCCGTGAAATAGGTCTTGTGACAGCAGCCTAATAAAGCTGTGCCGTCTTTTATTAATGTTAATCAAACAACAAAAGACAGAGAAAATCCCTTACTGCTCTTGACTAAATAATGTTTTGTTGAATAACTTTTAATGTTAATTTACAGTTTATTCAATTTCTGTAGCCTATTTAAAACACGTTCATAATTTAGAAAATGTAGTTAATACTTGCATCATTAATGATTTATTTTATCCACCCGTGACCCACCCGCAAATAATCAGAATGCATTTTTTTATTACCCGACCCACCCGATCCGCGGATTATCCGCAGCGCCCGCGGATATAACCGCCATCCGCGCATCACTACTATGTACTATTTTAGTAAACTGACAGCAGATACTAAATTTCTTAAAATACAACTAAAAAGTAGGAGGTACCCAAAAGTTTTTAATATGTTGATTACAAAAGTATGGTTCAGAATTTTTTTTAAAAATTTATTTATTTAGTTAATTAGTTAGTTAGTTATTACCTTTCAGAGTTTTACCACAATGAAAAAAACCAAAAAAAAACAAAACAAATTCCTGTCCATCGTGTTACAATTCAGTTGCACATCTGCAGTTTAAAAAGTTTCTAAATTATGCTAAAATGAGATATGCATGCTTACGTACTGTCCCCGTAGCAGTGCAGAGATCCCACTCTGTAAATGGCTTCAGACCCACTTCGGTTTGTGTCTCCTACCAAGATCTCGGTCACTGGTAAGTGCTCTTTGTAGGACAGCACTCCTGTGTCATTCTCCCTTTTCACAAGCAAACAATAGCTGTTTTTACACTACTGCTCTCACTATCTGCAGCTATTGATACTGTAAACGTGCTGAGATGATATTCAACAGATTACAAACAAAACAACACAAAACCTAATATGAAAGAGCACCAGTGTAGAAACAGGCAAACAATGACTGCTCGTACCATGAGCTGCGGTCAGCGTCACAGTTGCAGAAGTGATTCATATCAATGCAGTTTTCATCCAGACTGCAGGCGCACTGCTGCACCCCGGGGAGAAATCCACCCCAGTACGTCCTTCTCTCTCCTGCCCGGTCCAGCCACCAGGACAAGGGCGTTCCATCTGGAGCAAACACATTTCAGACAACACGTTTCTTTATTTTGCCAGTGACTGTGACATGTAACAAAAAACACCTTACGGCCAATATAGAAGGTTAATACTGACGGTAATTGACTATTTTTGTGTTATGGCCGATAAACATAGTTTAAGATATTTTATTAATTACTACACTTACATGTTTCAAGTTAAATCAGGCAAGAAAACATTAGAACATTCAAAAAGTAAAAAACAAAAGCTGGCTAATAGTTTAGCAATTTGAAAAATATGAATAAAAATATTGCATACTATTTGTTGCAAATGTATCTTTCTACATTAGGTAGATTAGGACAATATATCTATCTATCTATCTATCTATCTATCTATCTAGATAGATAGATATAATAATGTAATATATAGTAATATAGAGTATAATAAGATATAGATATATATATAGATAGATAGACATAGAAGTCATTTTGACTTTATATTTGATAAATGCAACTTTATTACTTTGTTTTGACTATAATTTTTGCTCTAGTTAAAAAATAATAATAATAAAATGGCATACAAAATGTTTATATTTTATGCTATTATATCCATGCAAAATATTAAATAATATAAAATTTTATGATAACCATTGTAATTTAAGTTTATATTTTATATCAATTTAATGCTGTCAATTTAAAAATGATCTTAATTTTTATTTATTATTTTAATAATAACAACAACAACAACAACAACAACAATAATAATAATTATTACTACTTCTACTTTATATTATATAAATTTTACAAATAATATGAAATATATTTGTTTATTTTTATGTAAAAAAGAGTTATACACTAATTTGACATGCCAATAATAATAATAATAATAATAATAATAATAATAATAATAAATATTACATGACATATTTAATGTTTACGTTTACACTATTATTCCATTTTAAAAGTAATATTAAATTGATTAAAAAGTAAAGGGGTTTATACTGTATACTAAATGCCAATAATAATAATAATAATAATAATAATAAACAAACAAATACACATTTTTAAACAAAAGGAGTTTACTAATTTGAAAAAAAGCCAAGAATGCCAATCATGATAATCTAAATAATGATAAGAAATACATTTAACAATTGCAGATAAGTAAGAGCTGCAGGTTTTTGTCACTGTAAAACTCTACCTGCCTGTAAAACGTGGTCAGAATTGACATTATATTCCTCTGTGGTTAACAGATCTGAAAAGAGTACATTCCAGATATTCCCTCCCACAAGATCCAGCCACCATTATTCCACACGTTTAGCCTTTCTACTCAATATCCCCCCCAGGAAAAATCAGGCAGATCGTTGTTCCTTTGCTCTGCAGCCACCAGAGTGTAAGAACGGGACCCAACTTCAGATCTCATTATGCAAATATCTCTGTGCCCGGCACAAACTGATGAACAATTTCAAGGACTGGCTAGTTTATAAATGTCGCCATTTCCCATCAATTTATATTGTAATTAGATTGTGGTCAAGTCAGATTATAGATCTGAACAAATTCCACTTTGGGTAAATTATCCAATGAGCTGAGATATTTTAATTAAGAATAAGGACCTGGAAAGAACGCAGATGAGCTGTTCGGATAGTGAACGCTGATCAGTGACTGTTTTTAAGAATTATCAACAAATATTAAGTAGCATTATAACTTTCACTCTTGCATTAATAAGTCATTAAACATTATGACATTAAGCAATGATCAGTCATACATTATCATGGTTATCACTGCTAATTAAAACTATTAAAAACACATTTGTTATGTGAAATAAACAAATACAATAATATATAAATACTGGATGAAAAACTTGAATGTTGAATGAAAATCAGAAAGGTTGCTTTGGCAACTAACTTAAATAAGTTGAAGCACTAAAATTACTCAAATTCAAACTGATATAAAAAT